TTCCGCTCTCCTCTCAGTCTCTTATAGTGTATATTACAGTGTTTTATATGAATTTGTTCCTGGGATTCTATCAACCTGGATGGCTCGGTGGTGGCGGGAAAAAGGGCTTTTTTCTTTCATCTCCTAAGAGCCTTGTGAAAATGAAGCTCTATAAAACCAATGCCTGAGGAAAGTTCATAAAATCCTCTGTGAACTGAAACATATAGACACTCGCGCGCGCCAGCACATGTATGTATATATATATATATATATATATATATATATATATATATATATATTCATTCTCCTCCAAGCTCATGGATGCTCTTCTCTGAATGTTTGACGTTGCCGCTGGACTCTGACGCTGCCGCTTTTTTCTCCTCTCAGCTTCTCCTCTCAGTCTCTTGTTGTCTGTGAATCGCTGATGTCTTTCTGTTGTCGCTGCAGGGGAAGCAGTGCGAAACGCGGTATGGAGCGTTCTCAGAGCAGCACGTGGGACAGCGCAGACGACAGCAGGAATAAGCTGGTGAAAGCAGCCTCCACTTCCAAACTCTTGTCCAAAGTGGTGAAGAACGCAGAGAAGTAAGTGTCCGGCTGCTTCTGATGCTTTTACCATAGTAAGACTCATGCTCCAGGCATGAGGGAGAGGGGCTCATATGTCATCAAAATCAAGTACAAAAGTACAAAATACTGATCTTTCCCCCAGGATTATGATATTGGTCAAAGACAAGAAATCCTTTTAGTGTCTGTAAAAAATTAAAATTATTTATATATATACACAGTTGTTGAAGTCAGAATTATTCCCCCCTTTGAACTGTTTTTCTTTCCTAAATATTTCCCAAATGATGTTTAACAGAGCAAGGAAATTTACACAGTATGTCTGATAATATTTTTTCTTCTGGGGAAAGTCTTATTTGTTTTATTTTGGCTAGAATAAAAGCAGTTTTACATTTTTTAAAAGCCATTTTAAGGTCAAAATTATTAGCCCCCTTAAGCATTATTTTTTTCTCATAGTCTACAGAACAAACTATTATGATTAGAAATGTGTTGAAGAAATCTTCCGTCTATTAAAAAGAAATTGGAAAAAAAAAAAAAAAAAAACGGGGGCAAATAATTCTGACTTCAACTGTGTGTGCGTGTGCGCGTGTGCGTGCGTGTGCGCGAGTGTGTGCGTGCGTGCGTGCATACATACTTAAAATAAGAATATAAGAATAATTTAGTATTTCGCATCCACTGCGAAAAAACCTGCAGGATAAGTTAGCGGTTCATTCCGCTGTGGCGACCCCGGATTAATAATGGAACTAAGCCGACAAGAAAATGAATGAATGAATAAGTTATTAAAAAAACAAGTGGTTTGAATGACGGTGGCGGAATATTAAGATTTTAAATGGCAATTCATGAATATTTTGGGCTTTTGCTGAGATCTTTTAATTTGTCACCAAATCATTGCTTTTATAAATATTGTAAACTTGATATACACTGGTTGATTTTTGAATGGTGTTTTTTAAATCATGTATTATAAATTAAACTTAAAAATGTCAAATTCTAATTAGAGCTGGGCAATTATTGACAATAACGTGATCAACCTTTCAGAACCTGTAATTGATCTCATTTTTCCAGGTCAATTCTTTAATTACTTTCCCTACCGGGTGTGGAGTCACGTTGACACTTGCAGTTATGATACTCTTTTACCCAAATGCCAATGTTTTATTCTGCAGTATCAGAACCTGCGGCCTCGTATATATATATATAAATATATATATATATATATATATATATATATTTTTTTTTTTTTTTTTTTTTTTTGGCAGTAAACTATTGATGCATGGGTTGATATTTTATATTTTAATGGTCTTTTGTAAAACATATAATATGAATTAAAATTAAAAGTGACTAATGTACTATTATAATGTATTACACTTACAGTTTTGATACTCTTTGAACCTTTGTTTTGTTTTTTAGTAGTAAATTCATAGATTTATAGCAAATTAGAAGATGTATCATTCACGAAGTTGTGTGTAATAATCTGTGCAAGTTTATTATCTTGCGCAGTATTTGCTGTTCTACTCAATTCACCTTAGTTTGGATTCATTCCTCGACATCAATCCAGTTTCACTACGTAACATGCGAAGAAAAAAAGTCTCTGGATTCCTCGTGAGCCTCGTCATGTGTTATTGCGAATAATCTAATTTATCTGTGACACTTGCTTGTTGCTTGAAAAATGTGAAGAAACTCCTCGTGTAAACCTATTTGACTTTCCTTAATTCCTCAAAACACTGAAGCAGATGTTATGCAGGATGTGCCCTGATTTGGGGTCCTTTCCAGTGAGAATTGTTTAAAACAGATCCATACATCATAAAAATAATATTAAAGCATAATAATATAGCTTGCACAACTATTTGGTCTAAATTTAAAGGCTGAAAAATAGTGCCTGTCCTACGGAAACCCGGAAATATTGATAACTAATGCTGTAAATGATCAGATTTGTCAGTTGTAGAAAAAAAACAATAATGTTGAAAAAATAATTGGTTGTTTTGTTTATCTGATTTAAAGGGATAGTTCCCCCAAAAATGAAAAAATACTTTAAGCAATATTTTTTCTCATTGTCTACAAACCATCGTTATACAATAACTTGCCTAATTACCCAAACCTTTCTAGTTAACCTAATTAACCCAGTTAAGCCTTTAAATGTCAGTTTAAGTGTCACTTAAGCTGCACTTTAAGTTTTGTTTATCTGATTTAAAGGGATAGTTCCCCCAAAAATGAAAAAATACCCCATTATTCACTCTCGTTTATGTGGTTTTACACCTTTATGAGTTTCTTTTTTTCTGTTGAACACAAAAGAAAAGAAGATATTTTGAAGAATGCTGTTTGCTGGCACTCATTGATTTCCATAGTAGGAAAAAAAATACTATTGAAATCAATGGGTGCCAACATTCTTCAAAATATCTTCCTTTGTGTTAACTTAAATATGTTAATTTAAACATCCTGTTGTAAATGATCAGATGTGTCAGTAGTTGGGAAAAATCTAACACTGAACAGGTAAATAGGGTGTTTTTTTAATCTTATTTAAAGGGATTGTTCCCCTAAGAATGAAAATGACCTGATCATTTACTCTCCTTCATGTGGTTTTACTCGTTTTTTTTCTGTTGAACACAAAAGAAAAGAAGATATTTTGAAGAATGCTGTTTGCTGGCACCCATTGATTTCCATAGTAGGAAGAAAATTACTATGGAAGTCAAAATGGGTACCAGCGACCAGCATTTTTCAAAATATATTCAAAAAAATATCTAAAAACATGAAAATGACCTGATCATTTACTCTCCTTCATGTGGTTTTACTCGTTTTTTTTTTCTGTTGAACACAAAAGAAAAGAAGATATTTTGAAGAATGCTGTTTGCTGGCACCCATTGATTTCAATAGTAGGAAAAAAATACTATGGAGGTCAGTTGATGCCAACAACCAGCAATCTTAAAAATGTCTTCCTTTGTGTTCAAACTCGAACATGTTTTGAGAAGGTAAAGGGCGAGTAAATGTAAGCGGAAGTTTCATTTTTGAGTGAACTATCTCTTTAAAGCAGCTTTTAATGGAAAAAAGGCCTTTCAAAGAAACTCTTGTTATTAGCGACACCGGTGGCCGTTCAGTGAACTGCAGCAGCGACTTACTGCATGTTTTGAGCAAGTAAAGCAGGGGTGTCAAACTCAATTCCTGGAGGGCTGAAGCCCTGCATAGTTCCCACCCTGCTCCAACACACTTACCTGTAGGTTTCAAACAAGCCTGAAGGACTCAATTAGTTTGATCAGGTGTGTTTAATTAGGGTTGGAACTAAACCGTGCAGAGCTGCGGCCCTTTTTGAACTGAGTTTGACAACTGTGAAGTAAAGGGTGAGTAAATATAAGCGGAAGTATAATTTTTGAGTAAACCATCCCTTTAAAGCAGCTTTTAATGGAAAAAAAGGCCTTTCAAAGAAACTTTTGTTATTAGCGACACCGGTGGCCGTTCAGTGAACTGCAGCAGCGACTTACTGCTTGAGTTTACATGACGTAAAACAGGATATAATGAGGGATAGTTCTTCTGTGAAAGTCCTCCGAACGGAGACCTTCATGAGTACGCAAATGAACAGAACACATTTTAATTTCACCAATGATTGAATAAACATGCTGCTAATCTTCTGATTTTTCTTCCTGTTTCCTCTTTAGACACAGAGATCCAGTCATCAGCCAAGGTAAAGTCTCATTTTTGCCGTTTACATGATCTATTATGTTTCAGCTTCATTTTTTCCCCCCTCATGTGTTCCCCTCATTTCCTGCATCGCAGTAGTGCGAGAGGAGCGTTTGTGCACATTACATCTCATTTACATGTCATTTGCATAGTTACATCCGTAAAAACGATTGAACCGTAGGCATGCACTGTATTAGGAGTAAATAAGGGTGGTCATGATACCAAGAGCAAAATTATCAGTGACTCTGAGAAATACTCTTAGATGAGGTTTGGAGGTTTATTTACTTTCATGCGTAGTGATACCGAGATTAAATTATTGTGACAAAGCATTGAAAAGTGCTCATTAAAGGCAAAGATGGCACAAAAACAGCTGAATGGAGCATACACTAACCTGCGCATTATTCAGCCATAAGATGGCGCCAAAGAGTGACAAGAAACAAGCATATAAATATGGATGTGAACGTATTCGGTCAAGATTATTGTTGTATAGTTCCTGAATGAGTCTGTGTTATTCAGTGGTTGTTATCTGAGAATAACATACCTTGTTATGTCGTGACTGACCAATCAGAACCAAGTATTTCAGTCAGTTATTATCACAGAATGGCACTCTGACGTAAAAACTAAAGGGCTTTATTCTGGGAAAACAAACCCAAGAATGCACTTTATCCTGCTTGTTACTTGGCTACTAACAACAAGTAAAATTTGACACGAAACATAATTCTTAGTCATATTAGTTTATTAATACTTTCAATAAACGCAAAGCTGACAGACAAAAATGGCTGAATAGAGCATACACTAACCCACATATTATTCAGCCGCAAGATGGCACCAAAGAGTGACAAGAAACAAGCATATTAATATGGATGTGAAGGTATTCGGTCAAGATTATTGTTGTATAGTTCCCGAATGAGTCTGTTCTATTCAGCGGTTGTTATCTGAGAATAACATGCCTTATGTTGCAACTGACCAATTAGAATCAAGTATTCCAGACAGCCATGTGTAATACAAAAATAGCAAACATACTTCAAGTAAAGTGCTGTAAATGTAGTCATTTGTCCTGAACTGACCTCGTCCTTCATCTGGATTGAGTTCAGTAAAGGTGTGAGCATCTCCTCAGTCTCTCCAGTCATTTTAATAATGGGAGAAAGGCTCATAAACTGCATTCCTGCGTCTCACAGTTAAACATTTGTCCCTCCTGACGTCTCACTGATCTTAAAAAGAGAGAACTTTCTGTCATCATTTACTCTTCCTTTACTTGTTACCAGTTTCGTTCTTCTGTTAAACACAGAGGAAGATACTTTGAAGAAAGCTGGAAAAGGCTAACCATTGACTTCCATTGTTTTTCCTACTGAATTGATGCCAGTGGTTACTTGTTTTCAGCTTTCTTCAAAAATGTATTCAACACAAGACAGAAACCAAGTACTTGAGGGTAAATAAACAGAATAAATGTGGAATTTTTGAGTTAACTTTCCTCTTTAAAACTGTCCTGTGTCAGAGTTTGAGAGATTATTATTTCTGTCTCACACCCAGCTAAAATGTCAACACGTGAAAAGAACAGTCAAGGTAAGGTCTTCCTCTATGCAGACCGTCGAAATTGCATCTTTTTGCCTTCGCTTTACCCGCTTCAGGCTTGGTTTTGTGAGCGTTTCTGACACTAATCCACTCACAGATCAATGATCAGCCTCTTCTCCTGTCGCTCTTCTTCCTCACAACCTTTAATCTAATTTGCGGAGGACTTAATAGTAAAGTGGATTTCCACCATGAACACACATGACTCTCGTTCTCCTTCAGCTGGTTATCGTGAGCTTCATTAGCAGAGGAATGTGTTTGTCCTGAAGTGCAGATTCACAGCTCAATCTCACTAAACACAGCAAAGCAAAGCGGTACGAGAAAAATGATTGCTGTTACAGTATTATATATATATATATATATATATATATATATATATATAAACTTTATTTTAACCATTAAATAAGTCTTTTAGCTCAATAAACTACTAACTAGCTGCATATTAATAGTTAGTTTGGTAGTGGGTATTTGTTTTTAAAATTAGGGATGTAGAATAAGGTCATACTTTATAAGTGCTAATAAATAGATAATTTCTTTCGAACTAGCAGGTAATAAGCCAGTAGTAAATGTTGTGAAATGTTGCTTAAACTAAAGCGTTATCAAATTTTGATTGCTGTAAAAAAATAATAATAAAATAAAATAATGTTAATATTATAATAATGAAAAACTCAGATCATTGCGAATGTTATTGGGTTGTTCACACATGATTATTATTTTTATCTATATCAAAGGTTTAATATATATTTTGATATATTTCTATCAAGTGGGGGCATTTGCTGATATTGTATAATACTTGTTGTTTTTGATACATATCATGTTTTAAATGTATACTACTTTTAATTTATAATAAATATTATAGCTTACTAAACCTGTCTAGAAGAAATTCTAGCTCATAGTTCTCTCCAAAGTCGATTAAATCAACTAATATCAATTAATATTATTACCCATTATAAGATTTATTATTTTTTATAACTAAGACTTTTAGCAAAATAAAAAAATCATTGCCATTTCCGTACTGCATTTTATTGTATATGCAATATTTAATACTGATATATATATATTAATGTATATATCAGTATTAAATATGTAATATTTAAACATGTAAAGTAATGTAAAACTTATAAATAACTATATTTCTATCGCAGTAAACCCATTATGTAATTAACCCATTAATGTAACATTTCATAAATATTGTATGTATCAATTTAACGTTTATATATATATATATATATATATATATATATATATATATATATATATATATATATATATATATATATATATATATATATATATATATATATATATATATATATATATATATATATATATATATATATATATATATATATATATATATATATTTTATATATATATATATATATATATATATATATATATATATATATATATATATATATATATATATATATATATATATATATATATATAAAAAAAAA